ACATTAATTGGCTGAATGGAGAAAGAACAGGGCAATTGATGCATATCCCTCGCTTAAGAACCACTGAGGAGCACCTTTTTTTTTTTTTTTTTTTTAAAGGTGGAAGGAGAAGGATAGCAAAAGTTTAAGGACTTCTGGAAGAGTTTGCAGGCATAAGGCCAAGCCCACATATAAATCAGCCAGGTCTTGAAAAACCACACTATCAATACCATTTATGTCATTCTTTTTATGGTGAAACTATATCTAAGTAAAATAAAGTCGTAAGTTTTTTCATCTTCGAAAAGAAGGCACGTGTATGTTTATGCAGCCATAAGACATTTACAGAAGGGCTTACCTTTTCGATCCGTCTTAAAGTCAACCATAATAGGCTCAACGCTGCCTTCTTTGTTTTTTCCCAGCCCTTCTCCTTCTCTCCAGCCCATTTTTCTCATCAGCTGAGCTCCCATTCCTCCAGTTACTGGGGCTGCTCTTAAGAACTGATCCTATCCAGAAAAATAAAAGTAAAACAAGTCCTAAAGTTAGCGCTGGGATTTAAAAGAGTAAGTCGGAGCTTCCAAAAATGTTTCTAACAATGTTTCACAGATGCAACTCAAATGAACACACCTCAGCCTTATATACATTAACATCTTGTATAAACCAGAATTCACGCAGACACACGAGACACAAATCAATGGTTTCAAAAAAGAACAACTTAAAAATTCTAAAGCAATCCTTTAATTCAAAGTGGCAAGTGACCCATTTCAGACGTACATATTTAATAAAATGATAACCATTTATTTTTAAACACACTACTTTGGTTCCAATGTCTCTCTTCTCATCTTGTGAAAGGAGGCAGTGTTAACTGTTTAACTGGCAACATTTGTGCCAAGTGTACCTAGTTATTGAACAAAATACAAGCACATTTAGTAATGACATTCAAATAGTGTTTAGGCGTATTTTTAACATAAAAAAAAAGAAAAAAACTTTCCCATTTTATTATACAGCAGTTGCACATTCAAGTTTTACTCTGAAATTCCACATGAAACAGATAGAGCTTTTTCTTTTCTTTTTTAAGGGGAAAAAAAAAAAGGCGCTTAGCCACACAGTTTAGCAGCAGTCGTCACATTGTTTCAAATCATCATTAACATAATAGATGTTAAATGCTGAAAAGCTTATCAACAGAAACTTTAAATAATCTGTTTTGATGTAAAGAACTTTAAAAACTCCTTAAATGTTTACGTACCTAGGCCTCGATGGCCGCAGTGTTGTGAATAGTAGGGCTGGCATTGACCGTGGCAAGAAGGCAGCTACAAGGATTTGACCCTGAAACAAGTTTCCATATAGAGGGGTGAAAGTTCACAGGTTATTCTGTGAACTATCATCTCTCTTCTGCCCCACCCCCTGACCCAAGTAAGTAAGTCAATCATTTCCATCACAGCAAAAAATTGCTTGTCTTAAAATATACAAGTTTACACACTGGCACTGGTAAGTCCGTCAGTTATTTTGCACAGGAGATCAGGTGACACAATGCCTAGTATTTTGTAGATATTTTACTCACTACCAAAATGAATAGAAAGAACACTTCTTCCTTGTTTTGAGTTGCGCTTGCAAAAGTAAGCATTTCCAAGGTTTGGAAAAAAGACTGATAGCTCCTTGGCTTTGATTAATATGTAAACAAAAATAGAAGTCTTACTTTTGCAGAAACTGCAGACAACAAATTGTTAAGGGGATTAACTTTTCAGCATGAGTAACTCACGCACACTAATGTTGTGTGTGTGCAATCCCCAGTATTCATAGTGTTAAATAAAATAAAAAAAAAAATGAAGATTGTGGTAAGACTTCTTCAAATATTTATCTATTTAACAAAGTTCCTATCAACATGCAACCGGATGCTGCATTTAATCACAAGGTGCTCTGATGGAAGAGAGGCTAAGCCCACCTCTCCAGTTCAACTTTTCATTTTGTTTCATTCTGACTGGTGCAGACCATGCAGTTTGTGTGTACACAGAGACAATCAGTTTTCTCCATACGAACTGCCTCAATCTATACACCTAGAAGGGCTTTTACTTACTTCCATTTTCATTATCCGCCCTCTTTTCCAGGAACCTCTCATAAGAATAGGGCAACCATGCCGAGAATGATACAAACCCCAGTCAATGTCACCCTGGGTTCCGATTCCTCTTTAGTACCTGCTTTGCAATGATAGAATTTGCAATATCAGCATCTGTTTCATTATCACCAATGTGCATTCAGTTCACAAATGAAATACAGTGCAATTCCTTGAGGAGGTCATTTTAATATTACACAGCTTTCTCATTACGCCTGCAAACATACTGACTCTGGTGGCCAGAGGTGCTATAGAAAAAGGAAACGAATCAAAAAACTGCTGCTCAGAATTTTAAACTAAAGCACTGAATTCCTATAAAGGAGTTATCAGAGCCTGAACAAATTCCAGGTCTAGGGAAAAAAAAGGTTCTAAATTCAGGTGTGCATTTACTTAAAAAGAAAAAAAAAAAAAGAAGAAGTGTGAACTGAAAATTTTATCTGGTAACTTGAGTAGGGTTTTGTTTCCCAGGCTGCCCTGGCACTGTGACACGCACAACAGAACAGAAACCTGGTGGCGGCCGGAGAGCGGCGTCACTTTTGCTTCATTCCGGAACGACCAGCGAGGGCTGCGTGGCTCCCCGAAGGTCACACCAAGGAGTGCTGTACTGCTACGAGAGGAGCCTAGAGAAGCCTATTTTGATTCCAGCTACTAATAAACATTAAAAGGCTTGCTGAAAGCTTTTTTTTAACCTGGTACTAAGAATCAGATAAATAGGCATCTCTAATGCCACTAGTACAATTATATTTCCTTGTTTTTTTGTTTTGTTTTTTTCCTCCCCACCCCCCGCTCTCTCATTTGAATGACAGAAAAACTTCCTTACTCACCATCAAATAGGGCACGAGTAAAAATTAGTCTCATGTTCAGAGTGAAATTTCCAAACATAAAAGTATTAGAAAAGCTAACAGGAACACAGAAGTGGGACATACATTCCTTTTATGATTACTAAAGACTCAACAGGTGGAGGCCCACAGAGGTATTTAATGGCATAAGCACCCTTGCAGGTCTGGCCCTTAAGATAACGGACTGGCTTGTATTTAGCACTGTAAACCCCACATTTCTCTGTGTTTGGTTACTGTTAGCCAACTGAGTTAATTACTGAGAAAGTAACTGTTCTCTTTCATTCTCTAACCCAAATTTGAGTAAGCCAGCATGAACTTTTGTCCTCTCCAGAGCTTTACACTCCCTGCAAGGTCAGCCAAACGAAGCTCCCTTTCCTTCTGCCGGCAGGTGGAGACAACTCCTAAGCTATAGCCTTGGATCAACATCTCCTCTTTGAAGAGGCGGCTACATATGGTAACACCTAGTCACACAAGAAAGTTTTCAGTATTTTTAAGTAAAATTATTCCTCTTTAAATAGTGAAATGAATTTGGAAAAAAAAAAGTTGGCATCAGTATCAAATCTACAATGCTTTGATTAGCATTCAAGGGCTTAAACAATTTAAAAAAAAAAAAGGCACTTGAAAGATGATTTTACAGCTTTGTCTGCCTAAAAGACAGCACAAGTGAGACCATCACTATGATTTAATTGCAAGAGCTCTCTCTGCAGGAAAGGTTACATTCAGTATTGAATAGAGCTACTAAAAAAAAGCACTTGCAAGGTCATAAGTATTTGAGAGATTCTTAAACACATAATTGATTGTTGCCCTTTGAAAATAAAATATCAATTATTTCTCACAAAGTTGACGTGGCATTGAAAACTTAAGTGGGTTTCTTTCTTTCCAGCAGTATTTCATTTACCAAAAGACAACAAAGCCTTAAAGGCTGCAGGGTGAATGGTCTCAGTTGTACCTCGATATGTTGCCTTAAAGATAACTTTGAGGCTGACTCCGAGCTCCAATTCCAGAACCAGGATCGTGCATTTTTATTTAGTGAAACTTCCTGTAGAAACCCATCAAATGCCTTACGTGCAATAACTGCTTTGGGATTTTTGCTCAAGGCTTTGCACTGGCTCTGTGGAAAGCGAGTGGCAAGCAAGCTGAGGAAGAGCTGAAGCCCCTTTCGAGGGCCAAACAGGGAGCCAGTCTCGTATAAACAATGTATGATTGACTTGCCTTGCCACCTGGTCTCCTTTTCTAAGGAAAACTTAGTATATCATGCCAGGCACCAAGCACAGGAGCAACAGGACAGGCTGCCTTCTCAGAAGATCAGCTCAGCAAAGCACATGCCAGGCCTTGGTAAAGCAACTGCCCCAGGACTCAACAGTATGAGCTGCAGTATGAGCTCTCTTCACCTGCTCGGGCTGGACTGGGGAAGAATGAAGGATTTTCCTTTTGCGGACCTGCCGCACTAAGCACAGTATTGTAACAGCAACTGTGAAACAATATGCCAGGCTTTAGCACAACTAAATGAAGCACAGGAATTCCAAATATCGTTCCGTGTATCTGAAAGGCTGCAAAAATGTTGTTTTGCAAAATCAGCTTTGGCTAAAATACTTAAGGGGATCAATTATGGGACCAAAAAAAAAAAAAAAAAAAAGAAGCAGTGCTGATGGAAAGGCCTGCTTAAGTATTCCTCAACAGAATTTGCTCGGGAAAAAATAAATTACATACTTGACCTCATTTATTTACAGCACTACATTATCAAAAAAAGAAGAAAAATAAGAAAAAAAAAGAAAAAGAAAAAGAAAAAAACCTCCTACACAAATAAATCCTATTTGTGAACTGATTACACCAATGATGATAAACAAACGGAAACTGCTTTTCAGAAGAAACAGATAATACTGGTCATAAATCTGTTTTGGAAACCTTACAACATATTATTTAAGAATACTGTTCATGATCCTCTGCATTAACATCATAAAATGACTTACACATTAAGTTTAAAAAAAACAAACCGTACTTCTATAATCGGTATATGAGTTACTCAAATCTGTCACATTAATTGGTAACTGAATCCCTCTAAACTTCATTGAGCTGAAGTTGAAACTGCAGATATGTTTTGGTTTGAGCACATATTACCTCTCCAGAAAACTTCTTAGAAGTAAAAAAAATACCGAAATCCAGGAAATGCAAAGCGAAGACTGCACTCATCAAACCAGCTCCACAAGTACTTGGTTTTCCTTCTTGCCACTTGAATTTTATTTTTAAATTAATTTTTTAGATGCCATTTGTTTTGCAGTTGTTACTTGGGTATCTCTTGCCAAGTCCGAGGTGTGTACACATAGATCTTCTAACTCTGTTTACTGATACTCAACTCCCCAGCCCACATTTGGCCCGCTTCTGCTAAAGGGTCCATGTCCAAAAGGCCTCTGTAAGCGCTTACGGCCATATCCTGAACAAAATGCCCTCCAGTAAACTACATTTCTGGTCACAAGTCGTGCATTAGTTTATATTACTACATACCTCTCAAAACCCGCAGTCCTAATAGCAGATGAAAATTAAAATACATATGTATGTACGATTTTTTTTTTAGGGTGAAAAAGGGAGCAGAAGTTTGATTTCTCAGTGCTGTACGCCATGTAACTGACTGGAAGAGAGTTGAACAACTTCAAGTGCCTGAGAAATACAACCTGTACTTTGCATTTCATGGCTGGTGTGTATTCACGTCACTGAGAAAGATAACATGCATTCATAACCCATGATCCCTACTGCACTTTCTGTGAAATCATCCTCTAGCCACAGCGGGATGTGATTCCACATTAAGTTCATCAACCCTATGTTTTGTGAAGGCTTTCACAGGCGCCACCATTCCTAAACGGAGGAGGAATCCTGCTTAGCCCCTAACACATTTTGTGGGGGGTGCGTGACAAACTATTTGTCATCTCATGAGTTTGATGGTAATGTGCGTACAAATATGGAACCTTGAAGAGCAGAAGAAGTCAAGCTGAGGAATGCCAGAGCAGGAAAGAGGACTCTGTCCTCATGGTCTTCGCCCAACAACTCTTCTGGTGTTTACAGTAGCAGCCTCCTCTCTGAAAAACCACAGGATACTTTCCAGGGAGGACATCTACCACCGCAAATCACTACGTGTTTAGAGCTATGGAAAGGATGGAAGTGCTTCTACTGGCTCACTCTCATTTCTAGATTCATCAGAATGTTCAAACACACTTCCATTCCTCACAACCATCATGTTCACAAGTCAGACAACAGTCTCTTCTCTCATTTTGCTCCCTGTAAAGCATTTTAGGGGAGTAGATCACAATAAAGGTTGAAGTTAAATGACTGAGGGAAAACACACTTGCCTTCTCCACTCAGTGTATTTTGTTAGCAGATGGTCCTGTTACTGCAAGACACAGGAGACCAGAGAATCTCAAGGAAGAAAAACTGGATGAGAACAGGGGACTTGGGAAGGAGATGATGATGGGGACACTCTCCCTTTCCTTCATCTTTGGAACCACTTGAAGAATGCAGAAAGGGAGAAGCCCCAGACCCTGGAGTAGGGTTTGCTCATCTCTTTCACAAGCATCTTGGTGGAAAAGTTCTCCTTTTCGCACCAATACATCTCCCTACGTGAATTACATTTTTAAGTTTCTCTGCCAAAGACAATCACTGTAGCCAATTGGAGCCAACTTTTTTTTTTGCAAATTCAAAAGTTAGTAGTTGTTTAAAATCAAACTTTATAATAGAAATACATTCTATGTTCAGTATTAATACTGAAAAAAGACCATAAGGTTTTCAACTAGCAAGTAACTTAGATTTTGAATATGAAGTGGAAAAAACAAGACAGTTCATCTTGGTACATATTCCTCATTTTAAGATGTCATAATTGCAGACTTTTGATCAGTTTGCACCATATTTTTTTTTTTTTTGGGGGAAAAAGGGGGGGGGGAAATCTATCTAAGCCTCATATCCAGCCTGCCAGTTTTGAGGGCAGGTTTAACACTGGATTCTGGAAGCGAGTACAGCTTGTCCTCCAACTACATTATTTGCAAGAACAATCACTGTAACTCATTATTCTTTTGCCTAAAAGATGGCTTTGCTTGAATTCCTCAGTTCTACTTCTTGAAGAAAACCAGTTCAGCATTCATTTTCAAAGATGATGCATGAATTATTAAACTTATAAAAACACATGTATGTATGACGCATCGCACCCCAATAAAAAGCCAGTATCACTCTTCAGTGACAGGTCAGTATTTCAGTGTATGATGACATTAAATTTATTCACCCAACTGCAACTCCTGTTTTACTATGCAAAATACTTGGCTCCCAGAAAACACTGGTGATGCAAATAGAAGCAAAGTAGTAATTGGAAAGAATCAAGTCAAACAGAACAGCAGTTGAGGGTCTGGCTCATTGAAGTTAAGGCCAAAAGATCATTGACTTCAACGACTTCAGGATCAAACCTTGCCTGATCTGCCCCGATCCTGTAAAAGTCATGATGGACCTACCACTGCAACCACACCGACACTGTGAATGTCACTTCAGCATAAAATAATCTGTATGAACCAAACTTACTCATATACCAGACGCACATCTTATTTCGGTACATTAGGTAGTAGATTGGAAATACCATGATCAACACCTTAACACACAACAAAATGAACACAGCAGCAGCAAGTATCTAAATTGAGCAAAGACATTGATTTTGACACGTGTATTGCCATAGGTTATCAATGTTTAAGGCACATTTTCCGTATTTTCCATTATTTTCACTCGCATTTAATACAAGATATTTGCACAAATATGTCTGTGTAACTTCTACCTTTCTAATCCATGCTTGGGGACCACTGTTGGACAATTCCTCTGAGGACAATATCTGTGCTCCGGTACTTCCTGTGAACTGGCCAGGTATGGAGTTTGACTGAGCCCAGGCGTCGATCTACAAAACAAGTACCATTGCAAAACCAAAATCAAAACTTGCATGTTCTTCTTAAATCGCTGTTTCTCAATAATGCCCATTTGATCTCCCACCTGCTATGTCCATTAACACTCATTTGTAAACAGATGTTCAGAAAAGCAAAGCATGTTAACCCTAAGTTTGGGCTCATGGTCTGCCCCCAAATTAGTATTACTATGTGTAACTTAAGGGCAGAATTTTTAAATGTGTGTCCATAAACCGAGATTCCAAGAACTTACAAAAATTTAAGAAATCAGCTGTTCTAGGGGGGAAAAAGTTCAGATTAATGAAAATGATTATTAAAAAGCACAACATACCTGTTCCTGTGCACGATTTAACATGCACATGGCCTCTAAATCAAACGAATTCTCATTAAGCCTTTTCTGAGCCACTGCTCGATCATTCATAGCTGTGGTTATGTCCACACCCTAGGAAGAAAAAGATTATTTTTAAAAATATATCATATTACAATAATACCCATTTAAATCTGGAAAAAGGTGTTGTAGAATAAACGCTACAAATACTAGAAAGTTGATTTATATATTGAAACGTGGTTGGAAATATTAATAGGTAATGGGAAAAAGAAATCCTTAGGCTTTATATCATCTATACACAATCTGGGAATTCCCAAACAAAGAGAAAACCTGAAGTATAGAACCCTGGTAATTTTGTATCGAATGTATCAGAACTAACAGATTTAAATGCATCTTAGACCACAAGATTTAAGCAAAAGAACTTCATAAAAACTATTCACTTGAGCATTCTACTGTTAGTTCAAACTAGAATTTCAAGTCATGTGTTTAAAAAAAAAAATACACTAAGAATCACATGCATACCATAAACTGGTACTTAAAAGCCTTCAAACTAAACAGACTCGCAAAAATAGTAGAACCAAAATGTTAACTCAAAAAATTAACTGTTTTGGAAAGTATTTTAGAATTAAAATGATGCTTAATGAAAAAAAAAGGGAATCATCTCCCACGATTCTAAGCTAATCAAAACACTTTAGTAAATGTATGGAACACGACAAGCTGAATGCAAACCTCTGCTTCTCGTGCAAAAGTAGTCAAAAGGAAAAAAAATGAAGGCATAACAACTTATGGCTAGTACAGAGCTTATATAAAATGACTTGTGCATCATTCTTTAACTGATGTGCATTTTATGGATTCTCCTACTTCTAAGGTAGAAAAAGAATACTGTTCAGATTAATAATTGAAGACAAGCACGTGAAGGAGACTGAAAGGGCTGGGACTACTCAATGCACAGAGAAAAAGAAATCAATCAAAAAAGCAAGAGGCATATAAGTTGAGTATTACTGTGCAACATCACACCTTAAATGTTCTAAAATACATTTCTTAAAATAATTCTTTTTACTTTGCATTACAAGAAACTCCTAGCTTTGGCTAGTGATCATCTCATAACCTTAGCCTCTCACATTATGTTAGAATGAAGGGCCAGCAGAAGAAACTGCAACTAATTTAAATCTGACTCTCGTGAACACAAAATACAGTTAACGCACAAATTCACTGTCACAGATAATAGCTCAGGAACTTTGTAAATATTGAAAGTTGGTAAAAGACAGACAAGAATATCTACAATTACATAAAACAAATTGATATTCTTTATACCATAACAATTAAATCTTAACATTTATGAATGGGGAAAGAAAAAAAAAATCTTTAACTGCTTCGGACAAGGTATTTTACAGAAAGGTATTTTCTCCAGGATGATGAATCCGTACCAGGTTGCAGAGCCATCTTGCATTGGCTAAAACTCATAATCACAGTCATTTTTATTAAACTGACTTCAATGTTAATTTAGTGTCCCAGCTGACAAAAATACAGATTTTGACAAGGCACAAAAACAACTAAAAGATCTTTTAAAATTTTAATAGGTGCCTAACATGACAGTAACATATATAAAGGAATGTCTGTTTACAACACGCACATTCTTGTACTACAAGTCCCCACTACACAGTTGGAATAATTCATATTATTCTTGTAGTGTTTTGTTTGTGAAACTGGTTCAGGAGATAAATAAAAGTTCTTCTACTCACCAAAAGCTTCAATCCAGCAATACACATAGGCATGCAAGTAGTCCACTGAAACCACATTGGGACCACTCACATACTTAAAACATACATGTGTACTTAAGTGCTTTACCGGACTGGGGCCTATTAGCAGATACCCTGGTTAGTTAGAACTCCCATACACTTTCCCCACACATGGCCAGTCACCATTTTGGAGACCATCATGGCTTTGTATTATGTCAAGACACTCGATGGCAGCTTTGAATCTTGAAAAAAATCTCTGCTTGAAGTATGAAAAGTTGTTATTATTTGATCAGGTAAAACAGTTCAAGTTGAGCATGCTATTCCCTTTAAGAGCTCTGCCTTTCCAATCCTGAGTTTTAATAATGTTTTCCCCACAGAAACAACGCACAAGTATAGAAGCAAGAAGAATCTGACAACAGAAAGCAGGCATTTTTTTGGCATACTTTGTAGGCCCACTGATACATAAATGCATTTACTGCATTTTTAGGTCAAGTAGCCTTCTCTATGTAAAAGAGTTACTGCTAGATATTTTGAATTTAAATATATTTTAGTTCAATACTTCCAGATTTTCAAATACAACCTCTTCCTCATAGGTTTCCCTGGCTTCTAGAGACATGCTGATACTTCAGATCACTAACAGGCATGAGTTTTTCCGCCTTCTGCTACCATCACAGGTAGCTATGGAATTAGCATAATATTTTAATGAAACAATCAGTGCTAAATGAACAAGGCCACTTTAGACCTCTTATTTTGTAACTAACTGTGTGACCTGAATAAAAACAAATCACCACCAAACAAATTATGCATGACTTTTTAATGTCAATACAGACTTCCATCTGAATGATCACAACTAGATTTCAGAGTTTGCAATCACATGAAATGGATGGAGGTAAAGCATGTCCAACTTCATGAGGATCCAAGCATGCTCCCCCACTACCCTGCTAGGGCTGCAAGGGAGCTTACCTCACTTATGTTGCTCAATTTCTTCCCCGAAGGTCCCATAACTGATTTAAAATTCAGTTATAGAATTAAGCAGAGAAGCCCCCTGTTACCCTTCAGACTCCCTGGAGAAGCATACAGGGATTCTGTCACTACAAGAATACTCCTGTATTGCAAGATTATGGATTGCCACACCCCGGAGGACAGTATGCTCTGCTGTCAGCTAACAACCCTTGAAATCACCCTTAACACAAACCAAGTTAAGGTAAATGCAAATAAAAATATTTATTTACAAAATGTAAAAACAGACAACATGTTTACAATCATTTATAAAGATACAAGCGACACAAAGAAATCTATGTTGAATATATTTATTCCAACATCAATTTTTTAAGGCCTCTTCTATACACCCAATACACAAGCTATCAGTGCTTACCTAACCTGTTTGTCAAAGAACCAGGCCTAGTGTCTCTGGCAACCTGGAGGCAGACATCTACAGAGCTTGCCTGCACTATGAGCAAATCATTAACCATTTGAAGGACAAGACTTTTTACCACCTGGTAAAAACATGGCCAAATGTTAGTATAAAAAGTTTCTATATTCTGAACTTTGTATATATATATATTTATATATTTATATATATTTACACACACACACTCATAAACCAGGAATTATGGTCTGCAACAACATTTAAGAATGCTTGGCTCATACCGGCTCTTGACAAAGACCAGCCAGACAAGTTTCCATCCACACTGAGACTGCAGCAAATTTGATGCCTGACCCTCAGACTCTACCTTTGAGGTATAACATAAAAACATATCTGTCAAATGAGCTAAACTCAGCCACTGTGCCTTTGGTGCTACAAAAGCCACAGAGGAAATATCGTCTGTGCTTCAGGGAGTAAAGCATACAGTCTTAAAATATTACTGAAAGACAAAATGCACCAAGTTTGAAAAATGATTTCATCATTTCATTGAAGCCAAAGTTTTCTTTTTTTATTTGTTTTGAAAGATATGAGAACAATTCTTCAGATGAAATGAGGTGACATCAACTTGAAAAAAAGTAACATCTCCATCTTAAATATTAATTTCATTATAGAAAAACCCACAAAATATTTTGAAGACATCTCAAGAGGTAAAACATTTCCTTTTTTTTTTTTTATCTTCCAGTCTATTTAGCATACAATTAGACTTTCTTTTAGAAGAGTAGGTGGAAGACAACAGTATGAGCAAATGTGACTGAAAACTTAAAAATGAGTAGATACATCCAGACGAAATGGCAGTTTTGAAAATTACTTTCAATCTATTTTTAAACGGATTACATTTCAATTCAATATTATTGCTCTAACATTGGTAGGACAATTTTAATTACTGTTTCAATTATTATGAAAGTCTTGGGGTATTAATCTTTTCAAAAAAGCTTGACAAGAAGTTTGTTTCTTTTAAACTTCAAGCAAAAGCTTAAATTCTATTGACACAAATAAATTACTAGTTGACAAAAGCACACAGTATGAATACAGGTTGCTTTCATCATTACTCACACTAACGTTGTGAGCAAATTTGAAGACTGCAGCAGTTCAGATAAATAGCTTATTAAAATGCCGGACACTACCTACATACGCGATTCTTTTTTTTCGCAGGCTTCACCTTGGCACCAGATTGAGCGGGTAACACCTTTTTTTTTCTTATGGTATATGCTCTCCTGTCCTTCCTTACCTCAATGGCTGGTTTGGGGAAAACATCATCCTTGCCATCTTCTTTGCCTTTTTCAACTGGTACCCATTCTCCATAGACACTATCTACTTCTTTTTTCCTATGCTGAGACCCAGACGAGACAGGAAACTCCTTTGACAGGCTGACCTGATTTTTTGGTTGTGGTGGTGGTGCTGGTTTTATACTTGGAGTCTTGAAAAAAAAAAAAAAAAAAAGTTTTGTACTTGGATGCTTGAAAAAAAAAAAAAAAAAAGGAATTGAAACCACACAATATTCATTAGCATGTTTTTGAGAAGCAACTGATTGCTTACACGTGGTAGTTAAATTTTCACAAAAGAGTCATCCTTCCTAACTAGTATCAATCTGAAAGTATTTTAAACAGATTGTTTTAATTGCCTCGTTGTTGCATAGCCCAAAAAACATGTAAGAACAACAAATTACAGTGTCACAGAAGAACAGCCAGATGTTGAAATCTCTTTAATCAGCCTTGGTAGACAAAAACAAGGAAAACATCACCCTTGCAAGTAACCACCCCTCTCTCTTTCCGTCCCATCATAGGAAAGGGAAAGATCCTATCTCTTCCCCTTCAAATCAGTAAAAAAAGAAAAAAAAGGCCTCCGATATCCATATGTGATGAAAGTCTCACATTACTAAAGATACAGAAAGCACTTTTTAAAATTCTCTATTTCTAGTTTCAAATATTTTTGGACAGCAGCATGAACCCCAACTTAAATCAAGTTCAAGAGACTGCCTGGCAAGTCTCTCCTGGAAGAAGCAAACAGAGCCCAAGACAACTCCAGACACTGGAAAACCTCTAATATCAGAGAACAGATGGGAATGTAATCCAGAAAGAATAGAAAGGAAGATGTGAAAAGGCTCACATCTGTAGAGAAAAGGGAGAGCAGCCTATACCCACTAAAAAAACCATATAGAATCTGACATTTGCTTTTTTTTTTTTGAATTTCATCATACCACTTTCTCATAGTTTTATCTTATAACTTAATAGTCATTATTTTGTATATGCAACAAGTGACATTTACATACATGCATGCATACAGGTATGCATATCTATATAAATGTCATTTATATTTTCACTTGCTATAAGGTAATATTTTTATACAACTATATATATACACCCTGCAAAATCCAGACAGACTTTCACAGGCACAAAAATAACGCATAGAATTGACCAAAAAAAATCATCTAGAAAAATTCCAATCTATGCTTCAAAGCATGCAAATATCAGTTATATTTGAAGGAAAGCTCCCTAGTTTTATTCTTTTTAGCATGCTTCTCACAACCCAGGAAACATCAGCACAGCCTTTTAATTGCTGTTTGCAAACTGATACTAACATTTTTGCAATGAGAATGTGAAGCAAAACTCATTCTGTTTGTTATATTCATGTTTTGTTTATGTTCATGTTTTGTCATGTTTTTGTTATATTCTTGCACATTTTGAACATGTGCAAGAAGACATAATTAAAAACAGTTTCAGTCCAACTATGGAAACTTAATCATAATTTCAAATGCTGCAGATTAACCTTCCTATAGTAGCAAGAATATTTTAAAAGTCGCCAAACTTTTAACATTCTGCTGTAATTACATCAAGATGACAAATCACTGTTTAACTTCTATAAAACTACTTGCAAAGTTTTGACAGGATTTAAAAATAACCAGATGTAAACATTGTAAACTACAGAAATACTTACACTTAAATTGAAAAAAATGGGTTTTGGTTCATTGAGCTTAAAGGGATGATTATAGAAAGGACGTTCTTCCTCCTCTTCATCAGAAACATGAGGTTTATTCACTATCACGTCATCTGTACTTTGAGCAATCTTCTTGCATTTCTGGAATTATAAAAGCGGGGAGGGGTAAACAGGAAGTCTCAATAAATTGTACACCAAAGAAAGGATAAAAAGAACATTTTAACAACATTTATTTTTTATTAAGGCTTCCCAAAAGGCATAATCTGAGAAAATCTTCTATATATACACTCAATATATGTACCTCTAACATTTTAGGCATGTTAGACCTCGGCCATATGAAGCATCTATTAAAGTTTGTCTAATTTGCATACTTAGGCACTCATGCTGTGGCTAATTTCACAAGCATGTAAGTTCTCAGACAAATTGTTCTGTAAAACTGTGCTACGCAGTGCTAGCCGCAGAACATCGTCTACGGCTGCAAACACTTCAGAGTAAGAATTGACTGGTTGCTTGGCATCCCACATCACAACCATACTGTAATCTGAAAAGGACTACAGTATAAATATTGGCCTATAAATTCACAAAAACAACTACATACGTAAACCTAACAATTAAAAATAGTTTCTAATTGTTTCCATTGGTAGTTAAAGTATTCAGTCAGCTCCAAAGACTTAAGATATCCTCTGAAGTATTTTATGAGGTTAGCCAAGCAAACAAGATAGCACCATTTTATATAAAACACTTCACTGGTTATGCTGACCCATCCCATTTGTTTACCAGTAGCAACTGTAACTGAGTCAGTCTGATAAAAATTTAAGAATATTAATCCAACCTCGAATACTAATATAGAATCATTCTTCACAAAGCTAATCAACAAACCATACTGTCTACAGTGTTAACTGAAGGCAGTCAATCCATACTGCAGATTATGCCGCAGAGGAAGCACCCTGCAGCACGCTTTGTGAGAAGCTGACTCTGTTCTGGAAAGGGTGTTCACTTGGGCAAAGCAGCACGAGACAATGGCCAGGACTGCTGCTGGAGCTAGCCTGGATTCAACAGGGCAGCAACCAACAGGCTACCATAGTTGGAAATATCAAGGAAGGGGCAGGATTTTTTGACTCTAGATGAGCGTTAGCTACTTTAGACCCTGGTCAGAACCATCCAACACATTTGCAGGGACAACTACCAATTCTAACAAAATTTGAACAGAATTAAAATTTTAAAAAGCACAACTACTGGATTTGATACATTTTCATGATAAAAAAAATAGTAGAGAATAAGAATTCAAACAAATTAAGCACACATAATTACAGTTTGACTAGGAAATACAAAAAAATAGCTTGCTTACTTTCAGGTTTAATTTGATAATGCTGTTCTCACTTACCTCAGTGAGCTCCTTTAGAGTATCTCTTGACGACTTATTGGACTTGTCATCTTTCTTTTGAGATAACATAGGCATCAGGCTTGGTGGTAAGGGAACACCAGACTTAGCACACATGGCAGCTGCATTAGCTTTGGCTATTTCAAGTAGCTGGGCCTTGTCTAAAAAATTTTAAGAAAGATTGTGTTTTTTTTTAAACAGCCTCTGGTTTAATATTAAATTAGCATTTATAGAAGACTAAATAAGACTAAAATCACAAGATTTTACCCACACTGTGGATTTTTACAATCTGTGAAAACTCCTAAAAATTTAGGTACTTCCTCCAGGCCTTTTTAAGAAAAAATAAAACTGCATATTTAACACAAAGCACAGAAGCCCAAATTTCAGAACTTAAAATCTCCCGAGCCTCAAGAGTTCTATTTGTTGCTCTTGAGTCCTATTTTACTTTGTGGACTTATTCTAATTTTAGAAATAATGAGTTATAGTCACACAACTTAAAATTCCAAAGTCCCCATCTTAGCTATCTCTAAGAGCATTCAAAGGCCCTGAAGATGTCCCTTGCCTGAAACCCACTTATGACTCAGCAACAGAAAACATAAGCAGAGACATAAGCACTGAGAAAATACAATTATACACAAAAATGTTAATAACAGAATATTTTGCTTTACAGAGGAAAAAAAAACCCACATGTGACCACAGCACACAAACAGGGAACAGAAATTAAGCATGTTTAGTGTGTTCTTGTCTGATCTCAGTTTGCAAATGAATTACTATCTCTGCATGCACACAATCTCACAAAAATCCTAAACAAAGGTATACACGTACAATTTGTTCGGTGATCAAAAGCAGATTCAAAGCTGTCTATTAATTACCACGTCCTGCACAGAAGTACTCCTGACAGAGGAGCTTCCGTGGTAACTTTATAGCAGAGAATGGAAAGAAACAGAAACCAAGTTCCTTAGAATGTGGCCCGTTCCCACCCTATACATATTAAGGGGTTCAACTCTCAGAACAGAAACCTCCCTTCTCCTTATGAAACCTATTAGCTAAGAAAAGCCAAGGTCCCTCTCACTCCAGGCACAGTAGACAGATGCAGTTCATTTGGATTTTCACTTTCATTTCCAAATCAGCTAGGCTTGGTACTCTTTTCAGAAACAGCCACCCCTGTCCTCAAGTTCTCAGCATAAATCTATCCTAATGTCAACAGCCATTAACTGACATACCCATGATGACAGCAAAGTCTAAGGCAAGTGGAAACTGAAGCACATAAAATAAGAAGCAAAGACAAACATATTCTAAACTGGGAAGAAGACACTGAAAAATAAGAGTTTATTTATGTTGGACATATCTTAAGAGTTTTTTTTATAATTTTTGACCAAATTTACTTAATTATCCAAAAGTAAAAGGAATCGAAGAATATCAACTTTCTCTGTAGTCAGTATGGTTGCCCTCAAAAAGGAATCTGAAACCAAAGCTTTGTGGTTTTAAGAAAAATATCACACATGTGATTTAATAAAATGCAACGTTGGGTTATCTAGCTACTATCTTTCACAGAGACTCCCTAGTCACAAAGCAGGTATCTGCAGAATACTGTCCATGTTGCCAGTTTATGATCCTATCTTCATCAGCACTGGAATACTCCACATTCCTATGTAGCAGAAGAATGAGAGCTGGAAAGTCTTGATCTAATATTCATTTCCATAATCTCTCCAGCATTTGGCACATGCCAGGCAGCAGGAAGTTTTGCATGAAAAAAAAAATCTCAGCCTAAAAACCCCTAAAGAACTGTTGTTATTGACACAGTGAAGCTGTATTAAATATCCTAGAAATCAGCTAGCTACATTCATGTTATTATTGATTTATTCTAGTTAAAAATAAAAACTACTCTAACTTGTCTACACTGTGAATTTAGGAGCGTAATTCAGGATCATCTGGGAGCTTCTGAAAACATAAACTGAATATAAATGACCATAGCACAAGGAAGCTCTCCTCAAGATTCAACAGCACAAGGGAATAAAAAACAGAGCTTTTTCGAGCCCACAGAAACAGGGATATAACCCATATAACCTCTGATTCACATTTAATAATGTAATAATTTAATGTAGCAAAAGTTTTCAGAAGCAGGAAAAAAAAAAACAGATGAAAAGAAGAAGACAATATAGAAAACATATAAAGAAGCATCAGAGCTGACAACAGAACTAAGAAATCCCCCTGCTGTCATTTACCTTTTCATGTTCTGCCATATGCAGGTTGTTCCCAGTGAAGACAAATTAGTAATTCCTAACTTTCTCACAGAGAACATCTGCACTCTTTTTAAACATTACAATGAAGAGTACTTCTCAAAACTACAGCAAACTACCTTTGTCTAGAGGTTTTAAAATCAAGATAGATCTCTGCTTTAAATGCAGTTTTCATCCAAATGGTAAGAGTTGGTTCAGTTCCAACATAGAAGTTGCCTTAGTGAAAGCTACTGCCTAAAACCAATTCAAGAAATTTCTCAGGAACTCTACAGAGAGGTGTTAGAACAAGGCTGTATTTTAGCCAATCAATACTACCTAACTGTGAAGCTAATGAAGAAAAATTATTACTTACCCAAGTCTGTAAGACGTTTGGGCGATCTGCTGGCAAACCTTTCAGATGACCTGGACCTTCGACGATCAGGTGATCTGCTGTATCTTCTTCTCCCTGAAGATCTTGATCGCCGTAGTCGAATTGGGGACCTGCTGGAGCTCCGCCTTCTTCCTCTTGACCTTGATCGCCTTTGACGAATAGGTGTTCGACTCCTGCTACGTAACCTGAGTGATATTCTACGATCTCTTGAATCTGATCTTCTCCTTCTTCTATCAGTAGATCTTGATCTGTTTCTCTGAGATCTTTTACGTCTGTCTCTTGATAAAGAACGCCTTCTTCTTGATGCTGATCTCGACCTACTCCTCCTCCTGTGCCTTGAACGAGAGAGCGAGCTAGATCGAGAGCGACGATTAGATTTTGATCTTGACGTTCTTCTGCGTGTTACCGATCGGGAGCGATTCCGTCTAGAGCGAGATTCTGTATCATACCTCTGGGATCTGCGTTGAGAAGACCTGGAGCGTCTGCTTCTAGATCTCCGTGAAGACTCTTTATCAGCTGTTTTATCAACAGACTTGGACAGACTCCTTTGGTGAGCAGTGGACCTGGAGCGTCTATGTCTAGATCTCCGTGAAGACTCTTTGTCTGCAGTTTTTTCAACAGATGTGGATCTACTCCTTTGGTGAGCTGTGGACCTGGAGCGTCTATGTCTAGATCTCCGAGAAGATTCCTTGTCTACAGTTTTTTCAACAGATGTGGATTTACTCTTTTGACGAGCAGTGGACCTGGAGCGTCTATGTCGAGATCTTCGTGAAGATTCTTTGTCTGCTGTTTTCTCAACAGATGTGGATCGACTCTTTTGCACAGTAAGAGATTTTGAACGTCTACTTCTAGATCTTCGTGAAGACTCTTTGTCAGATGCTTTTTCGGCAGATTTGGATCTAGATCTCTCGCGTTCAGAAGACTCGGAACGCCTACTATCCTGTCCTTCCAATTTTTCAAGAGACGTGTCCTGTTCAGCTGTTAAAGAAGGCTCCGCATCCTCTGCCTCCTCACCAGTGGTAGACTCACGTTCATCAGAGGACGTGGAGTGCCTACGTTCAGCTGTCAGGGAGGTTTCCATATCCTCTACCTCTTCACCAGTGGTAGACCTTGATTCACCCCCATCAGGGGATGTGGAGCGTCTATGTTCAGCTGTCAAAGAGGGCTCTGCATCCTCTCCTTCTTCACCGGTGGTAGATCTTGACTCCTGCTCATCAGAGGATGTGGAGTCTCTTCGTTCAGCTGTCAAAGAGGTCTCTCCATCCTCTGCTTCTTCACCAGTGGTAGACCTTGACTCCTGCTCATCAGAGGATGTGGAGTCTCTTCGTTCAGCTGTCAAAGAGGGTTCTTCGTCCTCTACTTCTTCACCAGTGGTAGATCTCGATTCACGTCCGTCAGGAGACGGAGAGCGTCCACGCTCAGCTGTCAAAGAAGGCTCTGCATCCTCTACATCTTCGCCAGTGGTAGACCTTGATTCCTGTTCATCAGAGGATGTGGAGTGTCTGCGCTCTGTTGTCAAAGATGGCTCTGCATCCTCAACCTCTTCATCAGCAGAAGACCTCGACTCACGCTCATCAGAGGATGTGGAATGTCTGCGTTCAGCTGTCAAGGAGGGCTCCACATCCTCTATTTCTTCACCAGTGGTAGACCTTGACTCTTGGCCATCAGAAGAAACAGAGTGTCTACGTTCAACCGTCAAAGTTGCCTCCTGGTACTCCACTTCTTCACCAATGGAAGATCTTGAATCATGCTCATCAGGAGATGAGGAATGTCTACGTTCAGATGTTAAAGAGGGCTCCCTATCTTCTATATCTTCATCTATAGTAGATTTCTGGTCGTGGTCATCAGGCGACATGGATCTTCTATGTTCAGAAGTCAACGAGGACTCTGGACACTCTTCTTCATGGCCATCATGATCAGGGGATGTGGAATGTCTATGTTCAGATATCAAAGAGGGCTCTAGATCCTCAATTTCTTCACCAGGAGCAGATTTCACACTGTAGCCATCAGGGGACATAGAGCACCCACTTTCAGGCATTAAAGAAGGCATCCCATCCTCCGTTTTTTCACCAGGGACGGATTTCAGCTCACTGCCATCAGGAGACATGGACGATCGATCATTTAATGTCAAAGAAGACTCCAGACCACCTACTTTTTCAGCAAGAGGGGATCTCAACTCCTGGTCATTAGGGGATGCTGAACGTTCACTTTCAGGTGTCAGAGAACGCTCTTGCATGTCTGCTTTCTGAACAGGGGTGAAACTTAGCTCCTGGCCCTCAGAAGACAAATGATCATTTTCAGATGTCAAAGAATCCCTATCCTCTACTTTCTCATCATGGGGCAGTCTTGATTCATAGCCTTCAGGGGACATAGCTTTTTCCTGACCTTCAGGGGACATTTCACATTCACCTTCAGACATCAGAGACAGTTCCTGTACCTCTGTTTTTTCAACAGGAGTAGACTGCAACTCCTGGCTATCAGTGGACACCGAACTTCCACTTTCAGATGTTTCAGAAGGTTCCTCTGATTCTTCTTTTTCAATAGGGCTCGATGTCAAATCACGGCCTTCGGGGGATAGAACATATTCATTTTCAGATAGCAGAGAACATTCCTGCACCTCTGTTTTTTCAGCGGGGGTAGACAGCAAATCCTGATCTTCAGGGGATGCAGCACGTTCACTGTCAGATATCAGAGGAGGCTCCTGCACCTCTGCTTTGTCCACAAGGGTAGATTGCAATTCCTGGCCTTCAGGGAACGTAGCATAATCATTGACAGATGTCAGAGGTTCCTGCACCTCTACTTTTTCAGCAGAGCTGGCTCGCAACTCCCGACTATCAGGGGTTATGGTGCATTCATTCTCAGGCAGCAAAGAACACTGCTGTATCTCTGTCTTTTCAGCAAGAGAAGGTGCCAATTCCTGATCTTCAGTGGATACAGCATATTCATTGTCAGGTATTACACAAGGCTCCTCTACGCAAGGCATCTCTGCTTTTTCAGGAGAGCTAGATCTCAGTTCTTCTACCTTTTCAACAGGGGGTGATCTCAACTCCTGACCATCCAGGGATGTTGCGTATTCATTCTCAGACCTTTGAGAAGGTTTCTGCACCTCAGCTCTCTCTGCAGGTATGCACGTCAACTCGTGACCATCAGAGGAAACAGAACATCTCCTTTCCAACATCAGAGATGGCTCTTGCACCTGAATTTCTTCAGAGGCAGATCTCAACTTGTAGCCATCAGGAGATACAGTGCTTTCAAGTTCAGAGGCCAAATATGACTTCTGCACCTCTGCTTTTTCAGTAGGGATAGGTCTCAACTCATGACTATCAGTCAAGAGGAAATGCCCACCTTCAGATGTCGGAGAAGTCACCCGGGACTCCGATTTTTCATTAAGAGGGCTTAGTGAGTCAACAACAGTGGATTCAGAGGATCCACTTGCCAGTGGAGGCTTTTGTGCATCTAACTTCTCAACTGCGGTGGATCTCAATTCTTCTGAAAATACTGAACACCTAACTTCAGATGCCACTGACGGTTCTGCACCTTCCAGTTTCTCAGAAGAAGTGTATTTTGACTCGCTGCCATCATGGCATGCAGGTAATTCTCCTTTGGGCATCGAAAAAGATTCTGTACTCTCTGCTTTTTCAGGTAAGAGAGATTCACACACTTCAGAAGATTCAGAGCAGACAATGCCAGGTACCTGTGAAGATTCCAGACTGCCTAGATCTTTGTCAACAGCTGATCCAGACTCACAAACTTCAGAAGACTTGCAGCTTTCCCCCTCAGATGTCGTAACCTCCTCCGCTTTTGAAAAAGATGAAGATGACATGAGGTCATCTGAGACCTTAACAGGAGCACGTTCACATGACACAGAAGCATCCAGAGGCTTTACTTTTTCAGCAGAAAAGGATCCCAATTCATTTCCCTGAGATGACTTTAAGTACCCACTTCCAAACACCAATGAACTCTCACGTCTACCAGGTAATTTGGAGGATCCATTGCCAGAAACCAGGGCAGACACAGGCCCATCAGGCAGTTTATAAGATCCACTTCCAGACAGCCGCCAAAATTTCTGAACAGGGGCAGGTCTCACTTCACGACGATCAGTAAAGTCAGAGACCACACTTTCAGACGTTAGAGAAGACGTCTGAAGCTCTGTTTTTTCCAAGGACAAGGAGACCAAGTTGCAATTATCAGAAGATACAGAGCATCCAAGATGCTCTGGACCTTGTATTTTTTTGAGAGATGTAGACCTCAATTCATTTTCAGGGGATGTGGAAAGCTGAAAATCTGATATCAATGGCTTTGGATCCCCTCTTTTTTCAACAGATGAGGATCTTGACTTGGGTGTGGAACACAGAGGTTCAGGTAGCGACGAAGGTTCCAGAACCATTTCTTTTTCAGCTGCCATGGATTCAGCGTCTTGGTCATAAAGAGCAGAACACCCATTTTCAGTTGTCAGAGGAAGAGCCGAAACCTGTGCTTTTTCCACGGGCATGGGTCTCAATTCCTGGTCATCTGTGGCTTTGGAACTTTCAAGTTCAGACACCACAGAAGGCTGCAGATCCTCTGTTTTTTCAACAGATGAGGATCTTGTCTCATGGTCATCTGAAGTTTTGGGAAGTCCGCTTTCAGGTGCCAATGGCAGCTCTGGACCATTTACTTTTTCAGTAGATGAAGTTATTGACACAGCACCATCAGAGGATTTGGAGGCGCTGCCTTCAAATGTCACAGGAAGTTCGGGACCATATACTCCTCCAGGAGATTTGCTTCTTGTCTCTTGATGTTCAGAAGACTCAGTATGTTTATTCACTGAAGACAAGTTGCTCTCTCTTTTTTCCACAGATTTGGACCTTGACTTAACACTGTCAGAGGACTTTGAGCGCTTCCGTTTAGATTTCTTCGAAGATTCCTTGCGCTTTTTTTCAACAGACTTTGATCTAGACTTGTAACGGTCAGAAGACTTTGAGCGACGACGCTTTTTTCGTGAAGACTCCTTCTTTTTTTCCACTGATTTAGATCTAGACTTGTAGCGATCAGAGGACTTTGAGCGCTGACGTTTAGACTTCCGTGATTGCTTACGCTCTCTTTTTTCTACTGATTTGGATCTAGACTTGTAACGGTCAGAAGACTTGGAGCGTTGACGTTTAGACCTCCGTAGAGATGCCTTCCGACTCCTCTTTTCAACAGATCTAGACCTAGATTTTGAACGATCAGAAGAAACAGACCTGTTTCTGAACCTCCAGGAATATTCCTTGCCTCCCCTCTTTTCTGAAGACCTGGATCTAGATTTAGAACGGTCAGAGGATCTGGAACGTCTGCGTCGGGTCCTCCAAGATGATAGTCTCTTTTCTGCTGACCTGGATTTGGACCTGTAGCGGTCAGAAGACCTCGAACGTCTTCGCCTGGACCTTCGGGAGGACACTGGTTTTTCCACTGATCTGGATTTAGACCTGTAGCGATCAGAGGATCTAGAACGTCTGCGCCCAGACCTTCGGGAAGACAGCGTTTTTTCCACTGATCTGGATTTAGACCTGTAGCGATCAGAAGACCTCGAATGCCTGCGCCTGGACCTTCGGGAGGACAGTCTGCTCTTTTCCATTGATCTGGATTTCGACCTGTAGCGATCAGAGGACCTGGAACGCCTGCGCCCAGATCTTCGGGAGGACAAAGTTTTTTCCACTGATCTGGATTTAGACCTGTAGCGGTCTGAAGATCTCGAACGTCTGCGCCGGGACCTTCGGGAGGACAGTCTGCTCTTTTCCACTGATCTGGATTTCGACCTGTAGCGATCAGAAGACCTGGAACGTCTACGCCTGGACCTCCCAGATGACAGTCTGCTCCCTCTCTTTTCTGCCGATCTGGATTTAGACCTGTAGTGGTCTGAGGACTTGGAACGCCTACGTCGGGACCTCCGGGAGGATACTCTTCTTTCTCTCTTCTCCACAGACCGGGATCTAGATTTGGAATGCTTTTTTCTTGAAACTGAATAGTTTCTGCTCCTAGAACGTGCTCTTTTAGAAGTCAAGCGCCTAGAAGTAGAGCTTGACCTTGATTTTTTTTTCCTCTTCTTAGACCTGGAATGAGACTTAGAGCGACTCCTTTTTTGTTTCTTTGAATCATGCTTTTTATCACTTCTGTGGCTTTTTTCAAAAACTTTTTCAAGTCTCATTAGTGTCTCTCTCATTCTTGCTGCCACATCAGGCTGCACATCAGATGTTTCCGAATCTCTTGCTTCTTCTGCCTGTGATGATTCTTTCATAGCCTCATCGTCTGGAGTTTCTTCTAACTCTCCCGCTTCCAGTTCTGGACCTTCTTCTGTAACAGCTTCAGGTTCTGGAACTGCTTCTGAATCTTTTGTCCCCATCTCTGGCCCTGCAGCTGCTTCTGAATCTTTCAGCTCTACAACAGCATCGTGTAATGGAGCAGCTTCCAAATCTTTTGTTTTTGCCACCTCAGATGGACCAGGTTCCGCGAGTTTTAGGTTTCCAGTCATTCCAGATTCTGGAGTTGCTGCTGAGTCTTTTTCATCTGATGCATGTAAAGAACTAACAGCTGCTTCTGTATTTGCCACAGGTGCTGGAGTAGTCTTCCTATCATTTATTTCTTTTACAGGCTCAGATGGTATAGTTTGTTCTGTATCTTTCTTCTCAGCCTGTGTCTCACACTCCTGCATTTGTTCTGGAACTCTCACATCCTCCGTTTGCTCATACTGTACGACTTTTGGATGTTGTAATTCTGCGGCTACTTCAGGTTCTGGCACTTCCAGATCTTTCACCTCACCTGGTTTTGGAACTGCTTCAGAAGATTTCATTTCAGCAGCACTCAAGACTTCTGCAGCCACTTGTGGATGTTCTGTCTTTTCAGCGTGCAAAGACTTTGAAACAGCTTCTGAATCCTGTTTTGCTATGGTAAATGTTTCTGAAGCATCTTGTAAAACATTCACCATCCTTGCCTCTTCTGATTTTTGAGAAGTTTCCACATCTTGAGTATGCATGCATATTTCAGATTCCGTAACTCCTTCAGAATCTTTCCTTTCTACCATTGTAGGTTCTTTCCTGCTTTCCAAAGAACTAATTTCTCTAGCTTCTGATGCCATCTCTGCATCCTTCATTCCGTTCTCAGTACCTGAAGCTTCTTCCAAATCTTTGAAACTGACCATATATGAAGACTCAACTTTTTTTATACCTGTGCTCCTTGTTGCAATTATATATTCTACAGTAGGTCCCTGATTTCTTGCATCTGTTGAAATATTAGTTTCCAAAGTTCCTCCCAAGTTTCTCATTTCTGTCTCTGCGTCTGATGCGAGATTTTTTTCTTGCACTCCAGGTAAAGATTCTATAGTTTCTGAATGATCCACAGTTGCAGCTGTTTCCAACTCTTCCACATGCAGAGATTTTGAATTTTTTTCCAAAGTTTTCTCCATTGTTTGCACAGGTTCCAGTGTCGCTTCTTTGTTCTTCACCTGTGCTTTGTTCATATCTTCAGGAGCAACTTCAGAAGGTTTTATTTCTCCAGGCACCTTAGGTTCTAAGATCATTCTCGAGGTTGTTACCTCAGTTTGTGAAGCTATCTTCAGCTCTCTGTCTGTCATGATGTCAGACTGTAAAACGATTGAACTCTTTGCTTGGCTTGCAAAAACAGGTTCTACAGTTGTTTCCACATGTTTTAGTTCTTTCTCTGATGCAATTTTCAAATGTGTCACTTCTGTCAGTGCAAACACAGATTCAGAAGTTCTTTCTGAACTTGTTAAGGACGGAAGTCCTGGACTTGCTTCCAAAACTTGGGTGTCAATTTTTGAAGAACATACATTTTCTCCTAGACCCTTTGCCTCTGCAAGGGGTGCAGGCTGAAACACAGCTTCCAAAGCTTTCGTCTTTGCCATGCGCAAAGACTCCGAATCTTCTAAATCTTTCGCAGCTTCCATCTGCAGATGCAATGGAGATGTTTTCATCCCTGCTCTGGCTCTGTCGAGCATTGCTTCTGAACCTTTCCCTTCTGTCTCTCCTGCAGGTAGTAAGGTTGTTCTCACAGAACTTTTTTCCAGATGTTTTTCATCTCCAATTTTCACAGATGAGAAAGCAGTATCTGAGGCTGCTTCTACTCCTGCAGTACGATCCAGAGCTACTTCCAATTCTTTCACGTTTGACTCACTCTCAGATCTTGATTCTCTCAGCTCCTCTACTTGTCCCAGTAATGAAGATCTCTCTGAATATTTTGCCTCTGTTATGGCTGGAGGCTTCAGAGTTGTTTCTGGAAATTTTGAGGCATTATTTTCCCATTGCAGAGCAGCTTGATTTGTTTCTGTACTTTTTATCCCTGCTGGTATCACAACTTCCATAGTTGCTTGTGGGCCTTTACAACCCTCCATCATCTGCATTTCTGAAGCTGTTTTGGGGACAAATGCCTCCACAACAGGTTCTGAAGTTGCTTTTAAGTCTTTCGCCTCTGTGACCATATATTTTAGGGCTGCTCCTGAAGCTTCAGTTTGCTGAGGCTCTTGGTGCACTGTTGCTTTTAATTCTGTCACAGCTACAGCTTGTAAATTTGTTTCCAAATTATTAGCCTCTTGGATTTTTTTTATACCTCCCATGTGTAGAGATTCTTGAGCTACATTCACATTTGTTACTTCTACTGGAACTGCAAATCCCTGGGTTCGATCCAAAGCTCTTGTTTCTGTCACTTTAGGCTCTAAAGCCACTTCTGAAGCATTTAATACTGTTGCAGAATCAAGGGTTCCTTCTAAACCTTTGGTAACTTCAACTTCCAGATGTTCTCGGGTTGCTTTGACATCTTTTGCTCCTGTCATACCCACAGGTTCCATGATCGTTTCCAAAACTTTTGTCTTTGCCACAGTAACTGGTTCCACAGCGGCTTCCAAGGCTTTCACACTTTCTGTCTGCACAAAGCTTCTGGTTGGTTCCACATCTTTAACCTCTGCTACAGCCCCTAGTCCTACAGGTATTTTGGCACTTCTCACTTCCACCTGGGTTAAAGCCATTGCCACAGGTGTTTTAGAGGAATGTTGCAAAGCCACATGTGGGTCTGTTTCTTTACCTTCCATGCTCCCCATCACAGCTACAGGTTCCAAGGCTGTTTGAAAGACACTCACACTCTCCATAGGGCTGTGCTGTGCCATTCTCAAGTCATCAGCTACAACTGGGGGCTTTAGAGCTGGCTCCAGAGTTCCAGTCACGCTCCCTACTTCCAAAGATCTTTCTGTGCTTTTCACATTTTCCATAAGCACAGATTCTTCACTTGCTTCTGGAATTTTTACTTCTTCCGTGGCCATAGACACTTGAGCAAACTTCACAGTTTTTGTATCTGCCTGACTTACAGACTTAGGAATTGTTGCCAAATCTTTTGCTAAAGATTCTGAGCTTGTTTCCAATTCTTTTGCCCCCGTCTGTGTCACAGATTTTAGAGCTGTTTCTGAGTACTTCAGCACTTCCATGGGTTCATATTCGAGAGTTGTACCAAAAGCTTCCCTGGTGCCTTTAGTCTGCAGAATATCTTCCGAATCTTTTAATGCTTCTACTACTTCTGAAGTTACTTCAGGATCTTTCTGAAGTTCAGATTTATGGGCAACTCCAGATGGGATGCTAGATAATGTATCAATTCCAGTATCAACATGAAATCCATCTTTTCCACTGATAGCTACAGGATAAATACTTTCATGAGACTCTTTAATTTGTTCCTGTCTAGTGCAAATTTTAATTTGAGTTATAGTAGTATGTTCTTGAGTATCAGATATGCTGCTTTCTAAATTAAACTGAGGATCTGCTGCACATAAATTCCCCTTCTCACTTCCAAGATCTTCCTTAGGTGGTTGAGAATCATCTCTCATGTGAGAGCCAAGTCCTAAAGCTTGTCTATCAAGCACCTCACTTGCTTTTAAGGATAGTCCTTCTGGCTGCATGTGAACAGCCAAATTTGAATCTCCAGATCCTGCATGCTGTATATTCAGTTTGGAGCCTGAATTCTCTGGCATCAGGTGAGATGCAGGCTGTAAGTCTGCATGTTCTCCATGACGTGCAGTCTGTTTTGACTCTTTTGGCTGCTTTTTATGCTTCTTCTCTTTCTTCCTTTTCTTCTTCTTTTTCTTCTTCTTCTTGCTTTTGTGCTTCTTGTTCTTCTTTGATTTTTTCCTAGGAATTTCATCTCCAACTCCTTCAGTAGAAGTTCTTTTTGTAGACTTAGAACTAGTTTTCACAGTATCTTTGTCTACATCTAGAAGAAAACGAAATTTTCCTTGTAAATGTTGCTAGAGGAGCCTTTAAAATATAGTTTAAACCAGTAATGTTACTAGTTTAATGTTACTAGTCTAAACTAGTAAACACATAATGGAAAGAGGTACAAAAAATTCTAATTTGAAATCCACATCTTGTTTACCAAACTATCACAACCCATAAACACTCCATATTTTGCCCCCTTTCTTATCCTTTCTCCTTGCAATCATTTTGAGAAGAAAAAAAAAAAACCTGTTCTCAAAAAGTTAAACAGGTCTTCTTCATCAGTGGCACAGTTTCAGTGGTGACATAATTCCTCTCGAGATGTACTTCCATATATTTTCATCTACACTCAAGTGGGTAGTACATTCTACTAGAAGGCTTAAGATATGGTTTCAAACTGTATCAAGATGCAAATGCAACTGAAAACAAGTCTCCCATTTCTCAGGGAAATCACCTAACTGGCATGCCTACTGCAGAGAATCTAATAAGCAGTACCATGACCTCTTACTATGCTTTAAAAAAAAAAAAAAATCTTATCACTATACATGTTAGGAACGATCTGAATTTTAAAGTTCCTCACTTACTCATGAAGTTTTCCAGACATGTTTGGGAAAAGAGTATCTATTTCCCTCATCTCAAGCAGGCTTTAAACGGTGGCAAGCAACCAGCTGCTCAGACTCATGAACATGTTTGTCATGAACAACTGCAAGACGATAAGCACCTAACAATCTTCTGTATGAAACAGAAAAGTACCCAGAACTTCAGGTGACTGCAGGCAACTGTTAAGTGGGAAGAAGACGATTAAGGTTTGGATTTTTTTAAAAATTCTGTACCTCCTGAATCTGCGATCTTCTTCTTTGGATCTAGTACCATGTTTTCATGAAAAAAAAGCACTTCAATTATAGTAATATATTAGAATCATCACTAAATATACAAACTATATGTTTAAGTCTGCCTGCATGCTGTCATCACCAAAATCATTTATACTGGCCAGCAGAACCATGTGGGTTCTCCCATTATAATCTGGCTATGACTATAAAGTGAAATGTATGAATAAACAAGACAAAAAAAAAATTTTAAAAAAAAGTTCGTAAATGCAATACTATTACATGAACATGATAAAGATTTCATAAATGCTTCCATATTTCATTTAGTTGCAAAACACACACACCTTTACATAATTAAAAACCTTAAAAAGTGTTCCCATCAACATTCGCTTGAATGCTATAAAAAGGAACAATGAGTCACGTGACCTTTTCTACACACAGCAATTTCAGATAATCCCTAGCTTTGTCTAATAGCAACATAACTTCTTTCTACATATGAACAGAGGCAACACATATCATAAGCTAAGGTTATTTATTACCACACTAATATGTCACCTTTACTTACTATCATATTACTTGTCTCACTCTTGTAAGATAGAAGAGCACACAAAAAAAGGACAGTGCTGCTTATATAACATATCTGAAGGAAGGGTGTTGGAAATGTTAAGGGTAAACAAGCCACTGTGCATAAAATAGAAGCAATCTCCAAAACTTGAAAAGTTAGTCTTTGAACTAAACAATTCTTGTCACAATTTTCTACTCTGCCTTTTACAAAATCATTCCGGAACTATACTTACCAAGTACGCGAATTCTGAATTTCGAAAAATCAAAAACATAATAATTAGTTTTCATTTTGCTCTCTCTATTGATTAAGGATTTTTTAGAAGGTAAAAGCCCCATAAGAAATTATATTCACATGCAAATTTTTGGCATGAAATTTGGGTAATTTAATCACACATATCTTTCACTACCTTTGAAAGACTTCAATCTGAACACCTGTAGTTTAAAAGCATGGGCGTTATTCACTATTAAAAAGAAACAATAGATCACCTCACTTCGCAAAAAAAAGAGTTAACTATACAATTTTGAATTCTAATAAATATTGTGTAGATTACTAAACTTACAAACCAATAAAAATAAAGCTTCTACCTGTATCAGTACCATTTTTGTAATTAAAAACTCCATACTGAGGCAACAAAGTTTATACAAAAGGAAACATAAAAAGTCTTCAACATGATGTACCAACAAACAACTTCTACATTTACAAGTATTGTGTATACGTGTTGGCATTATTGTAACTGAGAAAGTCAAAAAAACTAACTTTTTACACACTAGATAACACTGTTGTATACCAACAAGTTTCAATTTTTGGATTACTCATTTCATTGTCAATCTATAGCTACAAAACACAGTAAACAGTAAAAAAATATATATATTTATGAACATTAGAGCAATATACGGCTTTTCAGATGAAGCTCAGTGAGCAGAGCAGTACTGAAAAGTACTTTTTCATCTCTGTAAAAATGATGATGTGTTAAGAATTGTGACAATCTTTTGAAATAAGAACATATTTTTCCAAACATGTTTTCATTTACCTGATTTGCACTGCAGCTCTGTATCAAGGGCTCCAGAGAGCACTTCCTCTATTTTCTGCACTATCTGATCACTCTGACGGCTCCCAGCACCAGCACCAGTGTCATCTGAAGGATTGGCTTGCTCAGCTGGGATTGGGTCACCATTGGGTTGGCCTTCTACCTTTCCACTAACCAAGAAAAATATCAACATAATACAGGCAATTTTGAGCTTTTCTTACCCTTATTTTAAAATTTATAAACATTTACTATATTTAACTATATTATCGTCAAAGAACTATTTAGCCTCCTGAAGAAGCCACAGCTTTAGCGAAACATCTATCTTCTGATTCACTTATTCACAACAGTTAAAGACAACTGAAAAGCGGGCAGAAGGGAAGCAAGCATGTTTGCAAATGAGCAAATCCCCATTCTTTATATAAAAGCATGTAGACTCCTCAATTTTCTGAATTCACAAAACCAACACCTATCACACACCCCTCTTCAGAAGATTTTCCTTGTTTTACAAGACAAAGCTATGTAAAAAATAATTAAATAAATAAAGGCAAGCTTAGGTATAATAGTTCCAGCAAAACTACTGGGCAAAACAAATGCTCACCCTTAAAGCAAAAAACGGACAACCTGCGAGTGGAAACGGGAGCAAGAAGCCGCGCGCGTCCATTCGTCCCTCCCCCCTCCCCTCCCCCTGCGCGCCGTATTTTTGCTCAAGGCGCCCGCAAGGGCGCGAGTCCGCAGGCCCCACCATGCTTACGGCGACACGATCCGCAGGGGCCCCGTCCCCGGCGCGGGGCCCGCGGCCCAGCCCCCGGTCACAGCCCTCCCATCGCGGCACGCTAGGCCTAGGGGCAGGCCCGGGCCTAGGCCCGGAGGGGGCCCCCGAGGGCTTC